TCCGCCGGCCAGCATGTGGGCGCATTTAGACACCCTGGCGGGCACCATGCGCCCGCGGGCACCGCGTTGGGGACCCCTGCTCTACACCTATGTTTATTATTAACTAGTGAAAGTAACAACTCCCACAGAGGAAAAATACGTGGAATGAAGCTGGATGTTAGATGTTTCTCTTGGGTAAACAAACTGGGTCTAGGTGAAGGCAAACCAAATTAATTCTACATGATTAAAATATCATTTACATTTTGTACACCAACTTTCATTCTAAATGAGCCCAAAGTGCCATACAGACTGCTGCATATATAAGGAGCAATTTATCCCTCCACAATAGTAGCTTCTTGACTGGAACATAGCATCCATTGAACAGCACACAGCATCACTAGAAAACAGATCAGTTTTCAGAGAATAAATTATCCAATTGAAACTACAGGGTGAATTTGTGGAGCAAGTATAAATATTCATCTGGAAGTCAGATGAAATAGGGCAAGGGGAAGAAGAAGAAATCAGGAAAATACAGATTTTAAAACTAGCTGGATAACGTTCTCAAGACCCATATGTCACTGAGAAATCCCACGGCTCCTTTCATGTCTGAGGAGTATAGAGGAGCACACGGGCGAGGATGGGACTGCTGGTGAGATGGGACAGCAGGACTACAACTTGGAATTGGTGACAGGAAAATCAGGTTCCTTCTCCTTTTCTTCTGCCAGAGAGACCTATTGCATATGTTTTGCTTGGCTGTTGTCCTGACTCCTGGTGGCCCTTAGGAGCTAGTGCAGGGTTCTTTACAAGCTGCTCCATAATGCATGACCATCTTTGATTGGGTCCTTTGAGATTGACATGGCAAGACTGCACAACTGGACAACCTGCTCTTTGGGGAACAGCCTATTTCCTACAAAATGTTCACCTAGTGCCTAAAACACTGGGGCTCCAATCTCTGCTGAAAACTGTAGTTGCTCTTGTAATACAAAAAATGATCATGCTAATAAATAGCTGAAGTGATCAATTTGGGATAATCAGTAGCTTGACATTTGTTCACACAAAGTGTTTGAATAAATACAGAGAGATTTGCGAAAATCAATTTTTATTCAAAAATGATAGCTCAGGAATAGGAAAAAAATAACCCTAAAAAAATGAGGCTCCGTGAAAAGCACTTAATACAGGCGTATTATCATTAACCTTCCACTTAAATCCCAGCTTCAGTGCTGTCCAGAATAGCCATGCTTTCCTGAATCAAAAGGTCTAAATTATCAAAGCATATCATTTATAACAAATAATTAACTACCATGGATTTATTCCTAAGTACAGTATCTTCTTTACAAATGAGAAGTCTGACAGTAGGTTGGTCTGGAAGTTGAGGTTGCAGTTGTGTGTAGAACACAAAGGTAGATGGTTTTTGTCTTTTAATTGACATCTTGGTTCCCTTGGACTGGCCCAGAAAGAAAACTGTCTGCACTGAATTTACACGAATGCCATTTGGAATAAGGTACAGTCCTGCAGTGAAGTATACTGCAAACTTTTCATGAGTGTGATTCAGACATTAGGCCTGCAGAAAAAAATCTCTAGGGTTTTGGAGGTTTTTTGTTACGGAAAACAAGCCACTGGAAATGAACATACTGTAGAAACGGAAATATTTCTTTCATGAGTGAAAAGCGAAACAAATGAGTTTAGAAAAAAAGAGGATTTTATGATCCCAGTTTTTCCATGCTGCACTACTGTAGGAATGAAACTGAACACAAGCAAATGAGACATGGAAAAGTTCACTGCTGCTACCACTGAAGAGATATTGTTGCATGTTTTAAAAATCAAGACTATTTCCATTCTGCCATTATTCCATTTTTTCTTTTTCTGAACTTTGGGGAATAGAACTGTAAATATCCTTATTTATTTGACTGCTGAGCAAATGAAAGCAAATAATTATGACCATTATGATTGGTTCTTGTCTGCTCTCATTCTTCCTCCTTGTTCCAGTGATATGTTTTCACTATTTGAACAAGGACTTAGCCTGTGATGACAATGTGGGCCTGTGTGCTCACAGGTCTCTATTCAGCAAAGCACTGACACATAGTCTTAACTTTGATTACATATCATAAGTTCCATTGACTTTAATGGTATTTAAACATCCGTTTAAAGTTAAGCACATGCTCAAGTGTTTTACTGAATAGGGATTGTTTGCTGAGTCAGGACTACAGAGAGTACAGGTGATTGGGTCACCTGTTCATTTTTCTCATTATAGCAGAAATGCTTTTAAAACTCATAACAATAAGCAAGAAGGGGAGTCAATCCCACTTGGCAAACCTACGTATATTAATTCAAATATTTATACTTTGTTTCTGAAAAATATTTGGAGTAAATTGATGGTGTAGTACAGTGCTCAGTTTGTGTAATTTGTACAGGGGATGGAGGTAAAAACCTTGTGGAAGGCCTGGAGGTAGCCTCTCCAAGGAAATGCCTACCATTTTGTGCAACCTGATCCATTCCCAAGGCAAAAAAAAAATGTTAATCAGAAGTATTTCCAGTGCTTCCAGAGTAAGTATTCCTTAGCAAGAAGGACTTTGTAGTATCCACACCAGTGGTGAATGCCAGTGGAACAGGGTAATCACCCACATGGTATTTTCAGATTGGTGGCAAATTTTTAACAAAGGGCTCCTGCGAACTTCCTCCAGAACATCACTGATCTATACAAGGGGCTAGATCCTCAGCTGGTATAAAAAGGAATGGTTCCATTCATGTCAGTGAACATTCTTTTATAGTCAGCAGAGCTGTGGAAATGTACCGCAGCTGAGGAGATAGCTAGAGATGTTGGTCAAGTTTAAGAGGTGTGGGAGGTATCTTTGGGTACAAAAGTAGACCTATTTGCATGGCTAAAATACTGCATATACATTTCAGCAGAATTCATTCAATACAGCATAGTGGAAGGAGTTCATGCTCAAGCTGAAAGAAGGGGAAATTGCCTACTGGTTGCAAACACAAACAGAGTCCAAAGAAAACAGTTTTTACAAAAAGGTTACCATAAAGTTTCTCTTCACCGTTTGACCCATGCTGTGAGTCACTCCAAGATAAGACTGAGCAGGGGACAGTCATGTGGGAAACTGAGCAAAGGGAATTTCTTCTAAAAACAAACAAACTTTACTCAGGAGAATTATGAAAAAGCAAACCCATTTTTTTTTGTTTTTCTTTTCAACAGAAAAGAAGTCATGGAAGAGAAGAGATGTGTATAATGGCAACTAGGTCACCCGACTTGCTTCCATCAAAGAGGGAATTCACAGCACTGCAGAGACAAGTACATGGCCCTCCTGGCACTGATGTGAGTGCTTGTGCTATCATCTGGAGAAACACTTTCTTCATTGGCTTAGCAAATCCTGCATTTGGCGTTAAGTACTCTATTAAAAAATATAAGCCCACCACTTTTAAATGTGCAGGAAATGTATTTTTAACTTTTGCGATCACCCTTGTTCCCTTTGGGGCTCACTGAAAGCCTGCTGAATTCAATGGAAAGACTTCTATTGACTTCAGTAAGCTTTGTATCAGGCCCTGTGCGATCAATGGCAATCTTCCATTGACCTCAGGGGTGTAGGGTCAGGCCATATTCTGTTCCTGAATAGGGGGCTATTCTGCTGGAAGATGCTAATGACTGCCATCAAATGCATCTTTGATCCTAAAACAATCACAGAAGTCCCTTTAAAGCCAATAGGTGAGCCAAGTACTCTTTCAGGTTCAGTGGAAGGCGCAGTTAGGCTCCTTCTACATAGTAAAAGCAGCTGGAAACAATGGAAGGACAGCGGGTGGCAGGATAAAGTCAGGTGGGCTGAGGGGTTTGGCCTGGTGGAAAATGCAGGGGCTAGTAGTTTGGGTTCGTAGGCTGTGGAGACTAGAGGCATAAAGTCTGGAGAAACAATTGTAAGCAGGAAACAGAGAGATGGAGCTTCTTATGCAGAGCTTGCTGGAGTGGCAGACATGGAGATTTCTCCCACTATGACTCAGAGGCAGCACAGACCTGTTCCCTGACCCACACCCCAGCTCAGCAGAGACCAGGTACATAAGACACCCCAACATGAGCCAACCCTTCGCTCTGCACAGAAGACGAGAGGCTCCTGGTCCTGAGTAGCTTGCCCAGGGTGGCGAGGTAGGAGCAGCGGTGGTTGCAGACAGCAGTAGAGCAGAGCAGTGGGAGGAGGAGGGGCACCCCTGCTCCGGGAGACGCCTGGTGGTGGCCCAGCCTGCCCACCCCTAAGGCTGGCCCTGCTCCTGAGCCAGCAGCAGCAGCAGACAGGCTCCCTGTTCCCCGATCCCAGCTCAGCAGCATCTAGGTACATGGGCATGGAGAGGGAGGACACCCTGCCATCATCCCCCTGCCCACTCTGCGCAGAAACAGGGGGCAGGGTCCTGGTCCGGAGCAGAGTGGCCAGGGGCAGCTCCATGGGGGTGGGCTGGGGTGGAGAAGAGGCAAGTGGAGCAGGGTGGGGGGGAGGAGGGGCACCCCTGCCCCAGAGGCACGCAGCGGTGCCCCCCAGAGCACGGCATCCTCATGTGATTAATGCTCATTTTAAATAAAAAACAGGTAAATTTGTTTTGCGTTAATCACATGCGTTCATCGTGATTAATTGACAGCCCTAGTTTTAAAGCATTTTTGTAACAAAAGCTTTGTGGTTTCTTTAAGCAGCAGGCAGGAATAACTGCATACCGAGGGCCAAGTCCTCACTTTTGTGTTACGTAGTGTAAGGAGTTCTGCAATCCCTCACTGACATGTACCAGGGAGCCTGATCCCGAGGACCTTTGGGCACAGTGCTTGAGAGGGCAATGATTTCATCCTCTACTTCCCAGGCAGCCCCATGCAAGACAGGAATGAAGTCAGAGGCTCCAGAGGCCACATTCAATATACATGGCTGCTTCAGAAAGGTTGGCTTCCTTCAGGATTTGCTTAGGCGCCTCCAGATACTGGCAGCTTTGCTGTTTATAGGCTCTATCCCACAAACAGGTAGGGCCAGAACTTGCCCCAATATTTTAAGTGCACTAGGTTGGTTTGTCATGTTCCAGTGCAGCTGAGCCCTATATGGGAGAGCCAGGTCACTCTGCTGAAATGGTCACTTGCCAGGTAACAGTAGGACCAGCCTTCCAAAGGCCATCCTTAAGGTTTCATAGCTAGCTATCGGAGAGGAATGATAGCAGCTCATACCTCTTAGAGGGCCCAATCCAAAGCCCCTTGAAATCAATGGAAAAGCTCCCCACTGACTTCAGTAGTAGACATGAGAGGTAGTAAATTAATGAGAAAATTCACTGACAATTTTTTTGATCAGCACCTTTATAAAAACAGGAAAGAAAAAATAAATACCCAGGAATTGCAAATCTGCTCACAAGGGGAGAGAAGGACCCTTTGGATCTGTTAAGCAGAATTCCAGCTGAAGAAAAAGAAGTTGTCACTTGCTGACAGTCAGCACGGAGCTTTCAAGCAGCTGCAAAGCCTCTTAGTAGAGTAGGTGGGAGGCATTAATAAAGAAGCATAGCTCCCCATTACACAGGTCTGTTCTGTTCACGTGTGCATAACTTGTGTACCCATGTGTAGTAAGATTAAACAGCTGTGTACTGACCTTTGGCGGAATCTGAAGTCTTTATGACTGTTTAACCGTAGTATTTCCCAGTGCTATTACCTACTGGTACAACCACTGCTACATTCTTTATTAGGACAGAGCAATGAATTCAGAAAAACCTTTGGCACATGAAATTTTTAGAATCAGTTGAATGTTAGGGTTTGTGCCGTCTCTACAGAGTAAAGCTTCTTGGTTGCGCTGATTCATAGATCCAGAGTGGAACCTCCTTCTAATCAACTCTTATGGTGAAGATCTGTTTATAGTGGCATGAAAAGTCTCAAACATTTTCAGCTGATTGCAATGTGCAGACTTCAGTTCCAGCTAGTGCAAGCCCTTAGCTGTAGTGACTTTATGATTATTTTTCATGTAGAATGTATATATAGTATCGTTCATTTAAGGATCTCAATATGTCTTACAAGGGTTAGTTATTTAAGCCATACAACTCCCCTGTGAAGTAAATATTATTTATTACCAGTTAATATGGTGCACATTGCCACATTATCATCTCCATTTTACTGACAAATATACTCCAACCAAGAGAAATGACGTGACTTGTCCCAGGTCACACAAGTCAGGGGCAAAGCAGGGACTCGCACCATAGTGTTCTGAACTACAGACCCCTTCTGTGCGCTGTAGACCATATCCCCTAGCTCGGTGGTGAGGAATGTCACTATGCATTGACTCTGCAGGATTTCTTTTCTCAAACTATAATTTGATTTTCTAATCTTCACAAATTCTGCTGCTACAGCTGCTCAAGACATATTGCCACTCACAAAGAGACAATGCTGGGCTCACTTATTTAGAGCACAGAGTGTGTTCTGTTTCCAGAGATGGCATCTGAAATAAGGAATGATTGTGATATTTCCTTGCATTTCAGAACTCCCGTCAGCAGCCTTAAAAAAATAGTTTTCAAACAGCCTTCAGCTTCCCATGGCAAAGGTAACTCCCAAACTCCTACCTTATTCCTTCCTTAAAAACGAGCATCAGCATTCCATGCTTCTAATGGGGGAAACTCTGGGTTTAGCCAATGGGAACAGATGGTTCAATTCCACCTTCCCCTCAACTTCTTACCCTCACACACACTCTCTCTCAAAGTGCCCAATTCCTATAGACTCAACCCTCACTCAGGCAAGACTCCCAGTGAAGCCAATAAAAGTTTTGCCTAAATAGAGGCCAGCCAATATTTTTATCTCCCATCATTTATAAATGGTCAAATCAACATTCACTTCTGGGTGGGACTTTTTAAAGTGATACAGTCAGATATGAACCCCTGAAAAAACAGGGCTTTACAAAGGAAAAGGGAACAGAGGCCATCCTGTATTGTTGGGTCCAGTTATGAGAAGTCTACATTTGCTGCACTAACAACTAAATCCATATGGTTATCATTGTTCCTCTATAAAGAGATTTAATTTATATTGTACTTGGCTTCTCCTCATTGGCCTATTCCTTAAAAATGTTGTCAAGTTTCTCTAGTGTAACATCCCACAATAACATACATTACCTCAAACACATTGTGATGATATTGTCTCCTTAATGGACTGCCTGAAATTCATCATATTAGCTGACTGGATAATTACAGTCCAAGCAGATCTTAATAGAAGTTTCACCTTGATTTAAGGAGGCACTGCTAATGTAAAATGGTACATGTCCCACTCCCAGCCCCAAAATCTCCTCAAGTATACGCATGGAGAAGAGCATTTATTATTCTGTGTGGCATGACAAGCTTAATTTCAGCATTAACTATTTTGTAATCAAAATTTCTCCTGCCAAAGTTTCATCCCAAGTGAGACAAAACTCTAACCAGATGGCAAGTGAATCTATGCTATTGGGAATCAACGTAGAGTGACAAAGGTTAGAGGGCCCTACTGAGAGCTCCCATAGCACGTGTGTAAAAGCAAATTGAAAAGTGACCTCCTACACTGTAACTTTCAAGTCCAGAGCTGCTGCTGACATTGTCATTTTCATTCCCTCTAAAAGCCAGTTTAAAAATAGGCCACTGTTCTTGCACAGAGCATATTATCTTTCCAAGACAAAAACAAATGGTAATCACTAAGTGTGAAACTCACCTTCTTGCCAAGTGGTTTGGATGCCTTTCGAACGTTTCCCTTGACCCTTGTCACCTTCCATGTTGACATGACCATGGGGTGCAACAGGAACAAAAAGATGTGTCAAGCTGCCAAAGGGATGTTGACTTGGAGGATTATCAACAGACGAATTAACTGAGAGATCATCAGTACTATATAAGCCGGGCCCTACTGGTCAGCAGATGAGACCTATGTGTGAACACTTTCATAATAAATTCATCATCAGTAAATGAAAATGTGTAGATAAAGGTGAAACAATATTTTAATTCAAGAATCAGCTAACTTTATTGTGTGTAAACTGCATTTAATGAGTAGCAATCCCTGTATTTTGGGGGTCTATTACCTACTTATTTTTAAACCTAGAGAAAATCAATGATTCTCAAAGCCATAATACCTGGAGCAATTCATCAAAATTAAGATACGGAGTTGAGAAAATATATCTATTTAAAAACACCCTGGGCTGTTTGAACAGTACCTGTTGAAGCTGTCCTGTCTATTACTAGAATCTCTAAAGTTCATCATACTAGGGCTACCTACTAGATGAAATTACTATAAATTGGGTGCACAACTGGTTGAAAGACCGTACTTGGAAAGTAATTATCAATGATTCACTGTCATACTGGGAAGATAGGGTCAGTCCTGGGCCTGGTATTATTCACTATTTTCATTACTGAGTTGGATAATGGAGTTGATCTTATGCTTAAAAAATATGCAGACGACACAAAGC